GGAATAGCAAAGATGATGAAGAAAGTTCAGGAGCAGAACAAAAAGGGAATAGTAAACTTGTCAATCGCATCTTACCTATGCAATGCATTGAAGCATGGATTGTGTACTTGAAGCAAGATATTGTGCTCCCAGGAGTTGCTCTAGCTTTACTATATTTTACTGTACTCAGGTGTGATTTCTGTTTCACAGCATCATTTTGTTTTTCCCTTCCTGTTTCAATTTCAGAAAAAAAGGTTCTGATGATCATGAATTCATGATACATTGGGATGGTTAGGGTGGGATAATTAATTAAGGTCTTGGGCTAGAAGTCTCTGATGTCACACCATATTAATGTCATGGTTAGAGTGGGATGATCAGATAAGGTCTTGATGGTGCATAGTAGTTTTCTGATCAGATAAGGTCTCTTTCTGCAGCTTTGGAAGATTAATGACAGCTGCTTTGAAATGGATGGGTATGCCTGCTTATGTTATTGGTATTGCACGTGGAGTAAGTGCCACAATTGGAATAGCGGCAACAGTTGTGTATCCAGTCCTACAATCACACATTTCAACTCTTCAAACAGGACTATGGTCTATCTGGACTCAGGTATCCAATTTAAACTAATTCAACTCAATAAAGCTTTTTCCAAATATATGGGATATATCATCAGATATCCACATCCATAAGGTTTTGAAAAATGTTGGAATGCCAGTTGCCAACTTGACACAACACTGATCCATTGACAGGGCTTGAGACCAGCAGCGTAAGACAAGATCAACACTGGCAGAGTTGTTTGTTACCTATAATCTCAGAATAAACAATTGTTCTCCTTTTCTTATCACTTTTGTATGAAAAGAAACATATGCATGCAACATAAGAAGCTCATACTTGGTTGTGCTTTTATAATGAATTCTTGATTTGGTCTTCTAAATTTTCTTCTACCATTGAGAGTCCTAAACAATAGTGTAGATTCTTTCAGAAATTTTGGTATGGAAACTAGGTTAGCTTCAGGGACTGTTGCTTAATAAACATAATTCACACCAAGCTTCTCTCAATCTCTTGTTATTAATTGATTAGATTTATTTTTTATTATTTCTTGCCAACCCTTTTCTGTAAGTGATGGAACTTCATTTTTTTACAAGTATGACATGCTTACTAGACAAATAATTATGTATTCCCCTTTGGCCTCATTCTGACACAGCCATTCCAATTTAATTATGTATGTTAGAAGTTATAAGGAATTATAGTCATACTATAGGATATTAATAGAGCTTTTTTTTTGGGTAAGTCAATAGTAAAACAGAAATGTAAAACTCACTAGTTTAAATCCTCTCAAATATGTTTTTTCTTGCTCTACACCATTCTATGTATCTTTCTTATAGAATTTTAATGTTTGATACTTGTTGGCTTGTTGCAGTGGATCTTTCTGCTTGTATGTGTGGCATCAATATGGGTTCCAAATGCACGAATCTCAGCTTGGATGCTGATGGGTGGGGTTGCTGCATCTCGTCTTGGACTGTGGATGTTTGACTTATCTGTTATCCAACAAATGCAGGTTAAAAAAATAACACTAACTTTTGACTATAATGTGGTTCCTTTTCTCGTGATGGGTAAGGAAAAAATTGTTTTCTGGAAGTTCACTATATTTGAGTTAAGGGTTTGGGCTTCTAATCTCACTTAATTCATTTCTTATGGATCCGCTACACTTATGTAATCCAATTTCAACTTTATTGGTGGAATAAGGCCCATTCTTCATCCTTTGGTGTTTTCTTTCTTCTGATCTTTTTGGTGATTTTGAACAGGATCATGTTCCTGAATCTGATCGTTGTGTTGTTGGAGGTGTCCAAAACTCACTTCAGTCTATGTTGGATTTACTAAGTTATGTAATGGGAATAATCATCTCAAATCCACAGGTACTAATCTTCAGGCATGGTTCTTCTTACATGGTGTGATAGATAAGTAATTAAAGCATGAATTAGTATATTGCATATGTATATTATTGAAAATAGGGTCATTTACTAAAACACTTCCTATAGTTTAATGGATTTATGAAAACCTACCTTATAGTTTGTGTTTTACTAAAACACCCCCTGTAATTTGCAATCAATTTACTTGATTGACCTTCCATTAGATGATAGTGGAAAATGATACCTAATGTCCATTTGAATAAATTTAATCAAAAAAAATAAAAATGAAAGTACCATTTTTGCCTAAGGGTGTTTGTAGGTTAGGTTGATTCGGTTTGGCTCGGATGGGTTATAGGCTGCTTAGCCAACTGAACCGACCTAATCAGGTTGGGGAGTTGGTCACTTGAAACCGACCGACTATAAATGAATAGAATAAACTAAGTAAATTTTATTATAGAATTTTCCTCTGAAAACTTTGGTATTTATTCCCTCTTTGTTTGAGAGAAACCAGTGAATATAAGTAAATAAAGTTTTTAGGTATAACAAGGAAATAAAGATCATAAGTAGTCATATTTCATGAATAAGGATGTGAATGGCGTTTAAATAATGATTATAAGGAACCATAATCAACCAAGTTTTCTAAACTAAGCTATAGAGAATTTCTTCCCCTACGTAAAGTAATAATTTTCGGGGTCAAGATGAAGTAAATAACCGCAATTACTTAGTTGTAGATGACTGTCTCCTTAGATGTAAAATAGTAATTTTATGGTTTAAGATAGAGTAAGTAACCATAATCAACTATGTTTCATAGACAAGGCTATAAATGATTATCTCCTTACATGTATTTCAATATGAGATAAGCAGAAAAAGAAAGAAAAAAACACAAGAAAGAAAGGAGTGAGAGGAATAGAACGAATGTGGTCATCCATCTCAGATGAGAGGCACAAAGAATATCCTAGTGAAGGGATTTAGGAAGAAAATAAGATTCCCTACCTTCCTTTTTTATGCTCTTAATACCAATCTTCCTTTCTTTTCTCTTTCCTCTTGCTTCTTAGTGCTAAAAGTCTTCGAGATAAATCAGTATTAGCTAACAAAATGACATAGTTCACTCTCCTTATAGGAGAGGAGCTTATATAAAAGAGGGAGGTGGTTAAGTAGCTTTCTACCCCTCTCTTTCTAGGATGCCAAGTTGTTACGGTCTGATACAGGCTTAGCCTTGCCTATGCTTGGCAGGCTTACATTAAGGGACATCACCATCATTTTCTCCTGTAAGATTTTTGGGAGAATTGATGCCATTTTCAGGCAAACCTCTAAAAGCTTAACGTACTCTTTGAGGAGGGGTGGTTGACCTCCTTGGGTGCCTAACCTTGGCACTCCTAGACCAACTTCCCTTGCGGGGTGGCCCTAGTTAATGGCTAGCATGGCTACCAGGGTTCCTCATGGGCGCACACATGCTCATAGGGACAGTGCATGGACCGGCACTGCGCTACCGACACTCAAGGGAGGCTTGGCATGCGGGCCTGTCTCAAGCATGACCCTTCACCACGCCAGACCTTTGCCCAAGCTGGTCGAGCTATCCCGTTGCCCCTAGCTCACGGGTGTGTTCCGGCCCAAGTGGTTGCCTATCATCATTGGCACACAGGTGCCCACATCATCGACATATAGGAGACCCATCACATCGGTGCCCAGTCACCTCTTCGGCACACAATCGCCTCTCATTATGGTCGTCCCCCTTTAGCACATAAGTGGCGCCTCCCATGGATCGGCCAGAGCCAGCCGAGTGCCTCGACCATGCGACTTGAGGTCATGATCCAGTGCTACTGACCTTGGTTGAGCCATCTCATCGGGAAACTCCTAGCCTCGCATCACACAAAGGCTTGTCCTGGCCTACCTTGGCCTGGACACCGTACGGGTTTCTTCCGCTGTAGAACTAGCCTCGTGACAGTTGGTGTCAGAGTGAGCTAGCCAATTGCTTCTGCAATTGGTGTCAAGCAGATTAACCCAAAGCCAGTTGAAGCGGCCATCTCGACAAGTAGCACATCATGGGGTGCGGTCCCTAGGCACTTCCAATCGGGTTCAAGCAGAATTCAGATCAGGCCTGGCTAGAGGCCATTCATTGTTCGTGTCCCCATTCCAATGACCCCAAAAACAGCACCCATGCGGGGGCTGACGCATTGGTTGCTGTGCTCATGTGGGGGCAGGCGCGTGAGTCTTTTCATGGAAGGCATATTGTGGTGATTTGAGTGGGGGAGTGCCACACTTCCTCACGGACATCAGTTGTTCATTTTAGTGAGTTGTGGGCGGTGCGCCTACATCTTGGTTTCATGACGGATGAGCCATTGTTTCATAGCTTTGTCTGAGGCACTACTAAGGCGGGGACACCAGTCCGAAATTGGTTGGTGTCGACAGTTAGTCAGGGAATATCACTGAAGTGGAAGTTTTGCACGAAATGGGTCCTCGGTTGAAGCCACAATATTGGAATGATAGGAATGTGGGTACATTGGCCATTGGAGCATGGCGGCCCTGCACCGGCAATGCATCGGAGGACATGCTCAGTTCATCAACAAGGTAGAACATTCGCAGCAGCAACTCTCATCACAAGGCGAGTGCATGTTTGGCAACATCATGGGTAAGTTACCACACTCGCATTCATTGTGGTAAGATCTCCTTGAGGCAGCAGCACAGTGGGGCCCCCTCGAAGCGAAGATGTAGCCCGAACCGGCGAGTTGAAGTGTAGTTTCGAGGGCCAACAGAGCATAAGCCATGACTAGGTTTGAGTAACCCGCACGCGGCGAGGTGAAGACCGCAAGCCAGCATGGTGAAAGGGTACACCCAACATACATTGCCAACAACATGAGTAGACCTATCACAACGTGTTCGGTAGCACCACCGAAAAGCTACCAAGAAGACGGTCGAGCCTTGAGGTAAAGATGATACATGGGGCGGACCTCCGCAAGCACACATCCAATTTCTTCGAGGGCCCTTCTCACACAATTCAACGGCATAGCCATGCGCGATTTGAGTAACCTCAACACAGGGGGTGAAGTCCAGGCAGGCCAACATGGTGAAATGGTTCCGTCCCCATAAATGGACACCAATATAGGTGAGACCCGGGTTGGCCAGGCGAGCCCTGGAACTAGCACACAAGTGGATGGCGCGGGACACAGACGACCATTCACAGAAGGACCATTGTCAAGGACGACAATGGGTTGAGTGGGGGAGCCTGTTACGGTCTGACACAGGCTTAGCCTTGCCTACGCTTGGCAGGCTTATGTTAAGGGACATCACTGTCATTTTTGCCTGTAAGATTTTTGGGAGAATTGATGTCATCTTCAGGCAGACCTCTAAAAGCTTAACGTACTCTTTGAGGAGGGGTGGTCAACCTCCTTGGGTGCCTAACCTTGGCACTCCTAGACCAACTTCCCTTGCGAGGCGGCCCTGGTTAATGGCTAGCATGGCTACCAGGGTTCCTCATGGGTGTACACATGCTCATGGGGACAGTGCATGGGCCGGCACTGTGCTACCGACACTCAAGGGAGGCTTGGCATGCAGGCCTATCTCAAGCATGACCCTTCACCACGCCAGCCCCTTGCCCAAGCTGATCGAGCTATCTCATTGCCCCTAGCGCACGGGTGTGTTCCGGCCCAAGCGGTTGCCTATCATCATTAGCACACAGGTGCCCACATCATCGGTATACAAGAGACCCATCACATCGGTGCCCAATCACCTCTTCGGCGCACAGTTGCCTCTCATTATGGCCGTCCCCCTTTAGCACATAAGTGGTGCCTCATGGACCTACCAGAGCCAGCCGAGTGCCCCGGCCATTTGACTTGGGGTCATGATCCAATGCTACTGACCTTGGTTGAGCCATCTCATCGGGCAACTCCTAGCCTCGCATCACACAAAGGCTTGTCCTGGCCTACCCTGGCCTGGATGCCGCACGGGTTTCTTCCGTTGTAGAACTACCCCCGTGACAAAGTGTCACCACACTTAAAATGTATTGATGAGGGAAAAGAAAATTCTTTCTTCATAGTGCGACATTTGTCATCTCACTTAAAGTAGTTGAAAGAGGGAAAATAACTCTCTCTTCATAAGGTGACCTGTGTCACTCCACTTAAAATGGGTAGATGAGGGAAAAGAGTTTTTCTTCTTAGGGTAACATATGCCACCCCACTTAAAGTGGTTAGAGGAAGGACAATTGCTCTCTCCCCTATGGTGACATGTGTCATCTCACTTAAAGTGGTTAGAGGAAAAATAACTATCTCCCCTAATGTGGCATGCATCTCCCGACTTCAAGTGGATAAAGGAGGGAAAATAGTCATCCTATTAAGATAAGACAAGTGGCATCCCCTTTATAAATATGTGGGAATCCTCATAAGATTATTAATTAATATAAATTTATTTTTTTTAGGGCATGATGCTCCATTAAATGGGCTTTAGTACAAGATCATTAAATGTTTATTGCATTATAAATAAGGCACAATTAACTTATGTTATGTTGTTCACTAAACTGAACTACATGCCTCTTTCCTAAATTGTTTCACTCCACCCATGGAATTAACTAGGCTTAAAAGATCAAGTTGGGAAGAAAGTCCTTTTTCTCTTTCTTTTTTAGGTTGTGCTTGGGAGTACCTTAATAATTTGCTCTCAATCCAGCAATATTAAGGAATTAACAATCATGTTACTATTTTTATATAGAAAAACAAACACTTCTTAGCAAAAGGACAATTAAGTAAATAGGTTGCAAACTATCGGGGGTGTTTTAGTAAAATCAAAACTACATGGTAGATTTAAAAAAATCTATGAAACTATAGGGGGTGTTCTAGTAAATGACCATTGAAAATACAACTCAAATTGGATGAAAAAGAAAATAAGAAAAAAAAAAATTTTCTGAGGTTAACTGTAATGAATAAATAGTGAAGTTAATGAAATAGTCATGAAAAATACTTACTGAAGAAAATTGGAGCCTTTGAACTTAAAGTAATTTCCAGGCTATCCATGGATTT